TGAAGGAGAATCAGGGGTTTTCGAGTAACATTACCTGACAAAATGCTATGGTCGACGGAGAGATATGGCCGACGGAGGAGAGCTATGGTCGACGGAGGAGAGCTATGGGGGACGCATGATGGAAGGGAAGAGAGAAGACGTTCCCACTTTTTTTTTTCGTCTTTGTTTTCAGTATTTTTCTTGTCTTTTAGGTATGTGTATAACACCTTCTTCATTGTGCGATTCTTCTTCAGATGACTTCATCAGGTGCCACCTCAGAGGGGGTTGAGGCGGTCTTCAATTGAGGGGGTCTGTATCGGAATTGTTAACTTTATTAATGAAGAGTCATACAATTGGGATTAAAGTAAACTTGCGCCTTGTTTGAGAATATGCTATTTTAGTAATTTTTTAATTTTTTAGTTACAATATGAGGTAAAAACATTAGTATGTTTGAAATGATTTTTTGATTTTTTATGAAAAAATGTGTAAAAAGTAGAGAAAAAAGAGAATCAATAACTCTTTAGTATAAATTATTGACCTTTTAATTTTTTTAATGACTCTTTAACTTTTAAACTAAAATATTAAGTTGCCAAACGGACCGTGTTGTGTCAAACAATTGGACAACAAGTAGATGATGAGCGACACTAGAAGAGTCCAACAATTGGGATTAATTAGAGGTGTCGTGTTGGGATAAAAAAATAAAAAATTAGAAAGTCAACAAAATTACACACACTCAGTGGTTGGACACAAATCTTTATATGTTTATTTATTTATACAAGTGTTGGCTATATATTCTGTACAAGTCAATCGCAACTCAACACGTGGCACGTAAAAGGGTAATGTGGAGATTTAGGATAAGTCTCCAATCAAAGACGGACACGTGACAACTTATATTGGTAGTAATGGATTTGCGTAGCATTAGAACAGTTGAAAGGCGCAAGATGATGTATCTTAACGGTTACTTTCAATTTAAATTCAAATCCAGGAGGAAACCTAACTGCAAGAATGGTGTAGTTGGGTTAATATTGAGAGAACATGATCAGCGATTGTGGGAATACATTTCGACGGTTGAAGGCCCACTTCGACGGTTGTCATGGAAAAGTATAAATAGAAGAAAAGGCCTCAGAATGAAGAACCCAAACTCAGATCTAGAAACCAGTCGTTTACTTCATATTTTTTCTTTCCAGTTATACATTTCTAGTTCCTTACATTTTCAGCACTTCAATTCCTGTATGGCACTTCAGTTTCTAGGAATAGTTTCAAGTAGTCACTGCTGTAAACCTTTTCAAGGCTGGGTCATTTTATTTGTAAGTTCTTATTTACTTAATGAAATTCAGTTGAAAATTATTTCGTATTTGATATAATTTACAATTTCTCCTAAAACAAGCCACCAGTAAAAGTCATCTTCATTGTGGCTGAAAGAATTTCAACACATTCGTCTGATAACTTGGTTGGCAATTAAAATTTTGTAAGGATTAATTGATCCTTACTGGCATACTTAAATTACATAAATAACTTTCGAAAGCCAAAACAGCCAACAACAAGTAAAAAAGATTTACTATAAATTATGGGGTGTAAAAAATAAAAAATATCTAGAAATTTGACACCAATATTTGGGGTAAATATTAGATGTAATGGTTATATTATGTGGCAGTATAGTATCACCATTCAATGAACAACTTTAATTTGTGATAAGAATTACTTAATTCTTGCAACATTTTATTGGCATGAGATACTACCTAAGATGATGTCACAATTACAATCAATATTTCTTCAATATTAGAGTTACGAAATCACACCAATTTCTAACTCAGTGGTAAGCAAATCCTGCTTCTTCGCTTTCCACTGTCCCAGTACTTTTCCAACTTCTTTAAATTTTCACAAATCCTCTAGAATTTTTATAATTTTCCTCATAAAAATTGTAATCTCATATAATCAATATAACCCTATCCATACTGAATTCTTAATAAATTTCTAATTTTACAATCTAACCAAATACAAAAGCTAATCAATATCATCAAATTTAGCACAACTTTGTGAGTGAAACATAGAGCCAACGTATAAGAATTCATCAACCACCTCATTGCTTTCGTTGAAGCCTTTGGGAAAACATAGCACCGTATTACTGTTCCTCTCTTTCAAATTGTTTCTATGGATACTTGATAACTTCATCTCGTCAGCCTCCGTGAGTACATGATTAGTGGGTGTATTATCTATTTAAATTTTATATCTATCTATTTAACTGTGGGTGAAACATAGAGCCAAAGTATAATTTTTTTTATTTGTTTAAATTTATATCTATCTGTTCAAAAAAATTTTATTATCTATTTAAATTTATATTTATCTGTTCAAATTTTTTATCTATTTAAATTTATATCTATATGTTTAAATTTTTTCTATTTGTCCAAAATTTATCTATTCAATATTTTTATTTGTACAAATTTTCTATGTATAAATTTTTCATATTTGTACATTTTTTATATATCCAATTCAGTACGTTGATTTTTCACATCTGTTGAATATCACCAAGCTTATTGAACATATCTGTGTTAAATAATTATTTGTTGAACTTATTTGTGTGAAATTCTTATCAGAGAAAGAGAAATTGAATAAATCAACCATCCATTGAACAGTTTAGGTATGAACAGATCAATTCAAAAACCATCAAAAGCACATATATACACTACAAGCATATATAACCACGAGACACATATATCTAAATCTAAAGCATATATAACCACAACAATCACATCCTTGAGAATCAATGGTTGATCTATGTGGAAGCTCCTTTACAGAAGAGGATCACTTCTAGCAGTTAAATGCAAAGATTTGCAAACCCGTTCCACAAAAGAGGATCACTTCTAATAGTTGAATTCAAAGATCTGCAAAACCATTCCATAGAATAAAAGAAAAAGAAAAAAAGATCCCAAACACCAAGAAAACTAAGGAAAAGACAAAGCCACATGAGGAGCTCCACTAGCTTCATCAGTACAACTTTCAACAACCTCCAGAGATTGCCTACCAATAGAACTAGTAGATTCATTTCCAAAGCAAACTGCCACCGCCGGCCACCTACAAAGCCAAGTTCATGTGCAATTTTGGTGGAGAGAGAAAGAGGATGAAAGATAGAGAGATCAGTCGGCAGAGAGAGAGAGAGAGAGGGGGGGCAACGGTGATGGCAATGACATGGTGGTGGTCTAGATCTAGGGTTAGGGTAGGTAGATCTAGGGTTAGGGTAAGCAGTGACGAAACCCTTAGGGTCACCGGCGATAAATCTCTCATTCCCTCATTCAAACATCTCTCTCTCTCTCTCTCTCTCTCTCTCTCTGATGGTAGCTCTGGTGGAGGTGCTGAAGTGAACATATAGATCTCTCTCTCTCTCTCTCTGATGGTAGCTCTGGTGGAGGTGCCGAAGTGAACATATAGATTTGAGGAGTGAGTGATCAAGGTAGAAAGAGAAGATAAGAAAATGGGAAGACGAATGATCTAAGGCAAATCTAAGAAAGATCAGTACTCTCTGCCTCTTCATCTTCATCGGTGGCGATGCCTTGTTCTTGCAGGAGATCAGTGACAAAACCTTAACGCCTTATTCTGTCAATATCTCTGATGAATCATCGAGAGGTGTATTTGTGATGATGAGAAGTAGCGGCTGGGACGGCATCGCCAAAAGCCGCCATTGTTGGGCGGTGCCGGATGAGTTTTTGGCAATGGTGATGGAAGAGAAAGAAGATGAGAGAGAGAGAGAAAGAAAGAGAGAAATGATGAGAGTTGTGTACATATATATAATAGGGTTAGTTTTGTCATTTTGCACAACCATTTCCCAATGGACATAATTGTTTACCGCCTAGACTTTTAGACTAAAAGAATTCAAATATGAATTTATAGACCGAATGCGCTAATCAAAATCATATATTTTTCCATGAGTTAGTGATTATTTTGCAAGAAAAACTAGAAAAACCATTGACTGTAAATTCCCCATAAAAAAAAAAAAAAATATCCTTTTGATGTGGTTCACTTTCTAGTGCAACAACACTTGTAAGTATTTTTTTTTATGGTATATTATTTTTGTCAGACATTTGAAATAAATTTTACCATATATGTTAGGAAATTGACTCTTCCTAATCAGAATCAGTGAGATACAAAATAGAAAGCAAAAAAAATTAAAATGAATCGAAACAATCATACACATAAGAAATTCAAAAATTTACACAGTTCATCGCATAATAAGGCTACATCCACGGCCGCTGTAATTTTCACTATGTTCATAAAATAATTGCAACTCTCTACAATAAAAAAAATGTCCCCCCTCATCTATTTATAAGTATAGAAATTAAGGTAATGCTGAAGCAATAGAAAAGCTAAGACATTAATGTGTGCAGCGGGCATGGGTCGACCCTTGGAACCCCTAGTGTCGACCCTAAATTTCAGCAACCAATTCCAGATTCATTAATAGACAAGGGTCGACCCTTCCCAGACCGGTGTTGACCCTTAAGGCCAACAACAAAAGGTAAGTGTCAACACTGCGAAGATTGGTATCGACTCCATAACAAGATTTCTAAGTTCCCAAACAACTTGTTAACATAAACAAGTGTGAACGAACAATCCCAACAAGTTTAAATCGATTTGTAGTTCTCCAAAACCAAGATACAACAACTCCAAAGACTCCTAAGAAAGAAAATAAAGAAATTAAATACACCCTTCAATAGATTAAAGGATACAAATGTTACAGTGATGTTTTTCCTAGAGAGGGCGTTGAAGATCCTCTCTCCCTAACTGATTTCCGATGCCTCTTCGGCCACTTTATGGCGTGTCTTTGCCGAGCTCCCGAAACACTTTCAAAGTGTAGATCTGGATTTTTTTTTATGTCTAAGAAGAAGAGTTTGAGAGTTTCTGTCCCGATTTTTAAATTTTCTACACCAATAATGGTTCCCTTTTCTCTCAATCTTCCTCCCATACTGTTGTGAGTGTTCTTCCACTTCAATTTTGGCTTCTGTCAGTGATCGAAATACAATGACTGTAGTAGTGGAGTTGGGCAGCGACAATAAAGACGATGTCGACGGCAACGGCAACGGTAACGGTAAGTTTGATATAAATATTGATTTTCCAAACCACATTTGTGAGAAGATTAGTAGTTTTCCTTCAATTATAGTAGTAGTTGTTGTTGTTGTTGTTGTTGTTTTTCTTTTTCTTTTTTTCTTTTTTTTTTTAACAGCTTTGTAATTTGTTATTTGTAATTTTTGTTAGGTTGTTTGTTTGGCTTTTTAAGTTCTTATTGTTTTTACTTTTATTTTAATATAATTGCTTTATATTTTTTTCCAAAAAAAAAAAAATAGTTAATGGTTAAATGATAATCAAGGCTAACTAGCTATTCAATTTATAGTGAGTCTAGTAGTGACCATTATTAGCATCTTCAACGAATATTGCACAAGATCATAAAATGAGCAATATGTGCTAAAACTAACCATACTTGGCTTGCAATAGATGGGCCAGCCCAAGCAGTCCAAGCATTGTGAATGAAATCAATGGAAGCCCAATATATGATAAATGGAGATGTCTAGGCCCATCTTCTCAATCCTCAGCCTGGATTCTCAAACCTAGGCTAGGCTGTGTTGGTCCATTAATTTGAGTAACGGTTTGAAAAAAGAGAAAAAGATATGTAAAATATAATTATATTTTATTTATATTTAATTAACTTTTTATTTCTATTTTTTTTTTCAAATCTTTATTCAAATAGATCAACCAAACACAGTGCCAATAAGATTGGTAATTTTCTTGAGCTCTGTTCTATTGTGGCGTCAAGTGTTGTTATTTGCACTTGCACATATGTGTTGGCTTTTTGGCTTTTCGAAGGGTATTTTTGTAAATGTGAGCGTGCCAGCAAGGATCAATCAGTCCTTACAGAAATTGTGATTGCCAAGACTTAAATTATTTTCCAATAATACCCTTATTCTGCCACGTGTCGGATTGTAACTGGCAGTGTTGTTATTTGCACTTGCACACATGATAAGCTAAATTTGAATAAAATATTTATTTTTATATTTGATTGATTTAAAAAAAGGAGAATGTTAATAAGTTAATATTGAAAAGGTAAGAAAAAATATAAAATGATTATAAAGTGTTTTAAAATTTATAAAAAAATATATTAAATTTAATAATAAATGTCTCAAAATATATATATTTTTTTGTCTTTTTCTTGTACCTTATGTTCATTTGTTAACAAGTCCAAATTTGACTTAATGGAATAAAATGAAATAGTTAGTCCTTCCTATATGTTTGGATCATATGTAGGAATTTTAAAAGGAAAAAGAAAAAATGTAAGTAAAATATAAATGAAATATAATTGTATTTCAGTTACATTTCGTTAACCTTATGTTTTTCTTTCTTTTTTCATTTTTTTAACCTTTCTAAATATGTACCTAAATTCATGATCCAAACACAGTCTAATGAAATGATATTATGCTATGTTCGGATTATGAATTTGCGTAGAAATTTTGAAAGGTAAAAACAAAGATGGATGAAATGTAATTATTTCATTTATATTTTATTTACTTCTTTGTTTTTCTTTTTCAAATTTCTACTAAAATTTATATCCAAACACATGAACTTAAGTTCTAATTATTTCATTTCTTTCCATTAAACCAAAAAAAATTAAGTGTTTTCATAGCAAATCCAATTTTTTTAATTCAATATTCAGCTTTCAAATGAATTTTTGGATAAGTGTTTCATAACAAATCCAGTTTTTTTAATTCAATATTGAGCTTCCAAATGGATTTTTGGATTTGTCATACATGACTAGACTACTAATTAAAGGGTTTGGATCTGCATTGTTGTGCTGGCTTTTGGGCCTATTTTGGAGCCCAAATAAATAATTCAAACCGTTTATTTTTGGGGGACTTACCAGCCAGTCCCGTGGAAGTAAATTAATACCAGCCAAGTCCTGTCTTATTTCTGTTTTCAATTTTACCCTTCAATATCACACCACATGCGTGAAATAAAGAAGCTGCTCACGAGCTCTCCCCTGTATGTTGTCTTCCTTTTGTTCCTTAAATATTGTTCCTTTTGTTCTCTCATACTCACATACATACACACTCATTTACTAATTCACAAAATCACATCCACACACTTACTAATTCACAAAAGTAAATTCACAATAATTTAGTAGTGATAAATTTATCACTGATAAAATTTTATCAGTGATAAATTTTATACTCATATACATATACGCTCACTTACTAATTCACAAAAACAAATTTACAAAAAATTCAACAGTGATAAATTTGTCACTGGTTCAAACAGTGTTTTCTACTTTTACCCCTACACTCGACATTGTAACTCAAAAATTTCAGTGATAAATTCACAAAAACAAACTTATTTAAACAGTGATAAATTCACAAAGCAAACTTATCACTGGTTTAAATAGTGATAAATTCACAAAAACAAACTTATTACTGGTTTATGCAGTGATGAATTCACAAAAACAAACTTAACACTGATTTAAACAAAATTTTCACTGATTTAGCATTAGTTTAAACAAATTTATCGCTGGTTTAAATAGATTTATCATTAGGATCTTCCCCAGTATACAAAGAGAGAGAAAGACAGGAAGAGAGAGAGAGAGAGGACCCGGTGACAAAGAGCTTAGATCCTAGATCTAGAGATAGAGGTGACGACGACTATAGAGGTGGAGGCGGCAGTGGTTGGCAACGACGGTGGAAGTGGAGGCAAAGACGTCGGTGGCGATGGAGGCGAAGACGTCGGTAGAGGTGGAAACAACGGTGAAAGTGGAAGAAGATGTCAGTTGAGGTCGTGGCCAATGACGACAGTAGAGGCAGTGGTGGTCGGCAATGGTGGAGATGGCAATGGTCGTTGATGGAGGAATGTGTAGAGAGAGAGCTTCTTTTCTTTTTTATTTTTTCATTTTTCATCTTTCATCTCACAGATCTAGATATAAAACATGGGGCAGAAATGGAATAAACAAAAATGTTCAAGACCTATAGGTAAAAAAGTCTTCATTAAGGACTTGCTGGGTAATAACCCTTGAAAATAGGACTGGCCCGTAAAAATCCCTTACCTTTTGGAGTTATTTTGGAGTTCATATTTGAATTATTTACATTTTAGAGTAGATAGGGAGAAGGACAAGTTTGTAAAAAATCAATTTGGTTGTACATCGGTATTTCTATCATAAAATCATATTGCATCTAAAAAAAAAAAAAGAGAGAGTAGTAAATGTAATTTAAAGTATAAAACAAAATAAAAATGCGATTTGATAAAAAGGATATCGATATCCGATCAACTTTGTATAGTAAATGTTCAAGTATGTTTGAGTTAGGAGTGCACCTTGAGTGGGTTCGGTCGGGTTTGAAGATTGTCTAAGCCCAACTCAAATTGTGCTAAGACCTGCCTAGGCCCGAATTGTAACTCGAGGATGCCTGCCCAAGTCCAACCCTAGTTAAACCTAAATTGTTCAAGTTACCTGAATTGTAAATGAATTTCAGATTTTTTTTTGTTTTTTTTCTTAGCTACATTATTAAATTATTAAAATTTGACTATACTTACATTTTTTTATTATTATTATAGAAAATCATTAATATCATCAAAATAAATAATTTATATAATGTAAGACAGATACCGCTATAATAGTCTTTACAATATATAAGTAGGGTGATGATTGAGACCCCCTCCAATCACCACCCCCACCACCCCCCACACACACGTGGCGGGTGGTGATTGGAGAAGAAGGGAAAAAAAAGAAAAGAAAAAGAAAAATGGACCAATCATGAAAAGAGGGGGTCAAGGGGTTGAGTAAAAAAGAGGGTCCAAGTCATTATTCTATATAAGTAAAAGTAAAAAAGGTAATATTTTATGTTATTTGTGTATATAATATATATTCAATATGATTTAGGGCTGGTTTGGGGTACACTATATAATCCATTTTTTTATATTTTTTTCATCACATCACCTCTCTACTTTTCTGCACATCTTTTCGTAAAAAGACAAAAAGTGCACTTTTTTAGGGCACCCCAAACCAACCCTTAATAATCTAAATTACTAATATCATGTAATGACTAATAATTTATATGTATATTTAATATTTTTATATATCTATATATGTATAATTCAGGTTTCGGGTTGTTTGACGTCTTTGCCTAAGCCCATTCAAATTTAATTCGGACTTCTGAATTTTTGCTCAAGCTCGTACTGAATTTGAAAATATTTTGTCCAAACCCTAAAAAAATTCGAACTGAGTTCGGGTTACTTGGGTTGTGCCCGCCCAAGTCGCACCTCTAGTTTTAGTCGATCTATAGTAAAATGTGAATGATTCAGATAATCTAAATGAGTCTCAAAACATGCCCACACAATAATTGTTGTTGTGCATTTCTAAATCCCTAAGTAACCCGATTTTTGGTTCCATGAAAAATAACAAAAACAACAATACTATAAATTTAGAGTTAACTATTTAAAAATTATTCAAAATTATTATCTCATGATTCATATTTATTCTATGCATAGATTCTACACTACATAAATCCAATCTCAACCACACAATTCTCATTCGGAATAAATTTGAGATACTTAAGTAGGGTTTATAGTATTTTTCTAACAAAAATACTACAAATTTTACAAAAATTACTAAAATAATAAAGGAGAAGTCTACCATACACACTCCCTATCATATGAACAATTTTATTCAATAGTTACGACATTCAATTTTATTAAAAAAAATTATGTCATTTTGTTCAATAGTTATGAACAATTTTATTTAATAGTTATGACATTACTTTAGTTATGGTACATGTAGTATTTGATTATGATTTTTTTTTTAATTATGATTTAAAAAATATAAAATTATGATATATTTTTTCAGCAGTGATTTAGACTCCATCAAACTTCAACCCCCACCACCCCCACACACACGTTGCGGGTGGTGATTGGAGGAGGAGAAAAAAAAAGAAAAAGAAAAAAAAAAGTGACCAATCAAAAAAGAATGGGAGTGTGGGAAAGGGAGTCCCAATTTTTATTCATATTTTTTTTAACAATAATGACTTGGACCCCTTTTTTTTCCACCCCTCTTCACCTAATTGGCCATTTTGGCCATTTTTTTTTTTTTTTTCCTCCAATCACCACCCGACACATTTTGAAAAAAAAGTGGTGAGAGTGGTGATTGGAGGGTTCTCAATCATCCTTTTTTTTTTAAATTTTAAGGTATAATGTTACCACATTTTGCGCATGTACATAATTTTCCCAATATTAAAAACAAAATTGCAGCTATAAATAACGGTGTTCTCTGGGTCGTCGTCTTCGTCAACTGGATGAGAGAGCAGAGAGAACCATGGAAGCTCTGCTTAGGCTTCGAGTAGGCCTAGTGTTCTTTCTCCTCGCCGGAGTTTCAGATCGTCGATGTCGAAAGCAGAGTAAGCTGTCTGAATTCTTTAAATTTGTCTCTCATCTATCTATACATATATATGTATATATATATCGCATCAGAACGACTCCCTGTACCAAATTGAGCTACAGATCTTACGCTTTAGGCTTTGGTCTTTTAGATAGTATTATGGAATTTGGCTTTGTTTCGGAAATAAAACCTTCTAGGTTTGTTTGGCCGCCAAGAAAATGGAGGAAAAGAAAAGAAGATGAATTCATTTATCTCATGTTGTCAAAATTTCTCATTTTCCCCAGCTTCTAAAAAATATACGATGAAATAAATCAAAGTGTAAAAAGTTGTTTCAATGGTTACGGAGCTTGAACTCAAGTTTAAAATTAAATGGTTACAGAGCTCGAATTTTGAATATTTCGATTTTTCAGAAAGAAAGGTATGGAGTTTTTTTTTCAAAAGGTGTGCACATTTATAATGAAAAACAATGTGCTGTGACTTATTGTTAACCAGATTTGCCCCCAACTGTGAATTCTCCCAAATTTCAACAAAAAAATTGAATTTTTTTTTCTTGTAATTCTATAGGAGAATAAGCCTCTTTTTTTTTGGGTATGATTTTCACAAATTCATAGCTTATTATTATTATTGTTGTTATTATTATTCATGCACGTTTGAGGTTCATAACTTTCAAATTCATTTCATGATAAATTTATTTGGAAACCTTAATTTGTATGCTTCTTTATTAAAAACACATATAGATCTAAGTTACTGGAGCAAGGGAATAGGAAAATTGCAGCTTCATTATAGTATCAACTTGACTTTGAGGTTTTTGGGACCAAAACGAACCTTAAATATGTGACTTTTCATACATATTAGAAACATATGATACAAAAAGTCTGCTAAATTTTGCTTAAATATATAATAAAATTTACAAAAAAATTAAAAATATATAAAATGTTCATCAATTTAAAAATAAAAATAAAAATAAAAATTAGTTGAATAGTTTCATAAAATCAATCAATAAATAAAAATAGAGAGGAAAAGAAAGTACCTTCACTATTTGTGATGGATGAAAGATGAGAGAAGATCAATAATGTTGAGTTTTAGGTCTCCAATTTCTCCTTCTTTGAACTTCAATTAATCTTTGAAGGACTATTATGTGTGGCTAGCTTTTGTTTTGCTCCAAGGCTTATGTGTTTTTTTCAACCCAATTTTTATTGCCAGTCAATGAGGCACGAACAACAAATTTCTTTACACTTTGGCCTCATTTGAAAATATCACTTTTAATTTAAAAGTTAAAAAGTTATCAAAAAAATTAACAAATTATACAAAAAAGTAAAAAAAAAAATTTCTTTCTATTTTTTACACTTCTTTTCATAAAATACTAAAAGGCTATCTCAAACATACTAATTTTTTTATTTCATATTTTCACTAAAAAATCAAAAAATTATTAAAATAACATATTCTCAAACGAGATCTAAGTTTTAAAAGTTCTTAAAATATAGGCTTCAAATTTTTGGACTTTTTAAATTTAATTTGGGCTATGTATTAAAAAGAATTTTGTAGTGACTCTTTTTTTATGAATTTATATAAAAAGTTTAGATTGTGCCTTTTATTCATTTAGGCCTTTAAACTTATACTAATATTGAATTGGGCATCTTTTTTTTAATACACTATTATAAAATTGAAAATATTTTTAGGGTCCTATTTTCAGCTTTGTTTTGGAGGCTCAAAGTGGCTGCTTTGTCAGCTTGCCCCTCAAAACCGGGCCTGCAAATTCGTATCCATTTTTCTTAGTTTTTCGCCCACAAGAGTATATGTAAGGAAATGGGTATGGATTGAATCTTATTGATAATATGGTTTTTAGTTGCTTCAGAAGTTTGAAATCACAAATCTTGGTATACAGAACACTCTAGTAATCATAAAAACATCAACAATTTCAAAGTTCCCCACCAAATTTCCAAGGGAATGATGGAATTCCATGAATCAATGTCTTTGTTTTCAGTTTTTTTAATTTAGTTTTTTAAAAATTAAATTTTTTGTTTTTCGTATTTTTTTTATTTTTAGTGAATATTTTTAAAATTTTAAGTATTTTTTTTTATTGTTTTTGATGGACCTTACTTAAATATATTTAAAAAGTAAAATATTTGTGAAAAAATATTTAAAAATTAATAAATACACAAAAATAGGAAAAGTATACTGAATTTTTATTTTTTTTGTATTTTTGGTATTTAGTGAATTTTTTAAATATTTTTTTCACAAAAAATATACTTTTAAAGTGTATTTATGTTAGATGTGTCTAAAAATTAAAAAGAAAATACTGAAAATATTAAAAAAATTCAGTAAAAATAAAAAAAAATACGAAAAATAAGAAAATAGAATTTTCTAAAAAGTGAATTCCAAAAACTGAAAACAAACAGAGTGATATTTAACTACAAGAAATGTACTGCATTAATTTTTTTTTCTTTTTTATTTTTGGAAAATAGTTTCATATTTTGGATGTTGAACCCTTTCAGGCTAATAGATATATATCACATCTATCTGTTTATGTCGATTATTTATATCAATCACTACAAGCTAATGAAATAGGGAGTATATCATCATCACATTTGCGTATAGATTCTTGGAATATAGTTATTGTTGCTTATTTTTCTGTTATCAACTGTAGAGGAACTAGATTTCAATGTAATTCTGAAATTTCAATTGCTACATTGTCCAGGATCCATATGCTTTTCAGACATGTCTCAGTTTTTTTTTTTTTTTGGAAGATTGGCTTCAACATAAGTCCAATTTATTACATTAAGCATAATCAACTCCGTTTGTTTTGATAAAAAATATTTTCTACATTTTTTGATATTTAGTACGATGGAAAACAAAAGTCATTTGAAAATATTTTTTATGATCAATAGAAAATAAGTATGTTTGGATAGAAAATATTTTTTAGTTTTAAAAGTCGGAAAACGTTTCCGGACTAAACTTTTACTAATGCTACCACCGCCCTCACCTCCACTACCACACTACTATCACCACCATCCATCAATGCCTTTGCCTTCACCACCTCCATTGCCACCAAACCACCACAACGACTACCATCTCCACCTTGTCACTAGCAGCACTAACACTGTCGCTGCCGCCACCACTACCCCATTACCTCCAACCTCCACCTCCACCACCCCTTCCACCACCTCCTCCTCCTTCTCCACCCTTCTGCTGCCACTATTACCACCGCTAATGCAACTATTAGTGCATTAGTTTAAAAAACAAAACCAATTATAGGAAGACTTTTTTATGAAAAAAAAAGAAGATTTAAAATCTTTTTTTTTGATAAAAAATATTTTACACTGAAACAAACAAAGAGTAAATTTCAATTGCTAAATTTCCTACTTTGATGCTTGGGGGAGTGACATATTTTCCAAGTAGCAAAATCATTGGTCCTTAACGGACATATACATACATATATATAGACATACAATCCTTCATTTCGGCAACATTTGCTTTGACGTAAAATATTTTTCATTTTTCGTCATTTGGTTAAACAAAAAGTAAACAAAACATTTTTTAAGAAAAATGTTTTTGCATCTTTTTTTAAAAATGACTTACCTTTAAAAATTTTCCAAGTTAATTTTTACGAAGTTAACTCTTACTCATTACCTTTTTAACACATTTTTAATATTTTTAAATAAATATCTTAACTTGCTAAAAAATCATAAATGACACTTATTGAATCAAAATTTCTCTTTTAGACAATAAAATATTTTGTTTTTAAATGTCAACCAAACGTTGAAAAACATTATTTATTTATTTTTGTGTGTTTGTGTGTGTGTGTGTGTAAAATCAATTTACATGAAAAATATTTTTTTTGTGTAAAATATTTTAAGTTGAAACAAATGGAACCAATTGCCATATATATTTCTGATCTGGCTAGGTGTTGCTAGTCTCATTGTGTTTTCTCGGCTTCTTCAAAGACTGCAAGTTCGATATGATAAGAATTGCTGCTTAGCTTTTGGTCTATCTAAGTTTCTGATTTTATTACTTCCCTCTATAGAATTTTTTTTCCCTTTCCATTTGGATGAAAGAATAATCTCAGTTTTATGCCGTGATCAATTTGAAGAAAAAATAAAATAAAATGAGACAATGGAAAATTTTCTTAATGTTGGTGTTAAAAAAATCAATAACACTACAAATTCAAATTTATTAACCCAAAATTTACCCAAAAAGAAAAAAAAAAATGTATAATTTAAACTCATTTTACTAATGAAGCTTATGCTTTATTAATTTAATCTCTATCATATAAATACATTCACACATTCCGAATTAATTTTAGATAGATAAGAATGCCTTGTAATATTTTTGTAAAAAAAATTCTCTGTACTGATGACTTTTTCTTTGCAATCAGAATTGGAAATAGAGCCACAGTATGCTTTATTTGGGGGGTTTAAAAGCCACTTTTGTCACTGGATATGGAATACAATTGCAAGACTTCCTCTTGTTGAGACAGTGGCAGACGAGTTGACCATCAAAGTGGGTACATATTTTTTCTGAAAAATACTTCCTACCCCACTAGGAGGGTCGATCCCCAATGAGGTGTCACTCCGAGATTGGCCTAAAATATATATATATATATATATTTTTTTTTTGAGTTTTTAGCCAGTGAAGGTGCACCACGTCACTGGAGGCGCGACCCCACTGAGGGTATGCAGCGGGACTGATTTTTTCTACTTTCTATTTATTCCACTTGAGTTTCTCTATGTTGGACATTTCCCTAGAATGAAACATCATATAAATACTAAAAAAGGAATTGTTGCTTTTAGGTGGTGTTGCCAGAGGGATTAAAAAGGGAGAATTCACTACAACAAAAAGCATCAATGGCGACTAAAAAAATGAATTTCGTCGCTGAAAGTTGCACAAATGGCGACTAAATCCATTTTAGTCGCCAAAAATGAAGACTTTTGGCGACTAAAACCATTTAGTAGCCAAATGTATATGTATTGGCGACTAAAAATTAGTTTGGTCGCCTATTATATGGGTTTCAGCGACTAACACAATTTTCGTCGCCAAAAGTGATGGTTTTTGCCGACTAAAACAATTTAGTAGCCAAAGGTTCTGGTTTTGGCAACTAAAAAGCAGATTGGTCGCCGATTGTAGGTGTTTTTGGCGACTAAAACCAGATTAGTCGCTGAAAGTGAAGCCTTTTGGCTACAAAAAAAAATTAGTAGCTAAAAACTGAGTATTGGCGACTAAAATTCAGTTTAGTAGCTAAAAGGGGAAGTTTTTGGCGACTAAAAACAGGTTTAGTCGCCAAAAGGTGTGTTTTTGGGCGCAACATTTTTTTTTAGCGACTGCAAAATTAATTAGTAGCCTAAAATTGTAGAATTGGCGACTAAATAATGGATTTAGTCGCCAAAAGTGAGATAATTTTTTTTTAATAAATAATTTATTTTTTACATAAATTATATTTGAATATATATAATTATATTTATATATATTATGTTGAAAGTAATATATAAATAATATAAGTTGCAATTACATTCATGTGATGGTTGAGTGGCAAAGTGGGGTGGCCTGTGTCCTCAAGGCTTGGGAGCTTGGAGGTCGCAGGTTCGAAGCGAGGGAGGGAGATGCTGAGGCGCGCAGTGGGAAATATTTTTTTGTTTTGAAAAATGCTTTTGGCGACAAAATAGTGTGGTCGCCAAAAAGAGTGACAATTGCCGACGAAAACTTTAGTCGCCAATTGTATAAATAATAAAAAAAAAACACTATTGGCGACTAAAACTTTAGTCGCTAAATGTATAATTTCACAAATGGAATCGACTATTGGCGACTAAAACTTTAGTCGCTGAAGACCTGTATATTGCCGACTAACTAATCTTTAGTCGCCAAAGGTATTGGCGACCATGTATTGGCGACCACAGCGGCGACTAAAATATTTAGTCGGGAAAAGTAAAAATTCTACATTTGGCGACTAAAAGAGGACTTTTGGCGACTAAAAATTTAGTCGCCAAAAGTGTTTTTTCTTGTAGTGATTAACATTTCATTCTATATTTGTAAATAATAATAATAACAATAATAATTAATTAATTAATTAATTAAATTAGTGATAAATTTTAATAATCAAAAGAAAAAATTGTTAAAAAGTTCAAGGTAGAAGAATATAAGACATTAAGTCCAATATATATTTTTTATTAGAGAAATGTCCGCTCTTTTTAAAATAGTTTGGTGAGAAATAATTTTGTTAGGTTTGAAGGATATTTTATTTCTAATTTTATCCCTTAATTTATCTATTGAATTTTTTATTATCTGTTATTTTTTTTTATTTGTTTAAATTTATATCTATCTGTTCAAAATGTTTTTATTATCTATTTAAATTTATATTTATCTGTTCAAATTTTTTATCTATTTAAATTTATATCTATATTTTTAAATTTTTTCTATTTGTCCAAAATTTATCTATTCAATATTTTTATTTGTACAAATTTTCTATCCAAATTTTATATGTATAAATTTTTCATATTTGTACATTTTTTATCTATCCATTCACTAAGTTTATTTTTCATATTTGTTGAATATCACCAAACTTATTGAACACATCTATGTTAAATAATTATTTGTTGAACTTATTTGTGTGAAATTCTTATCAGAGAAAGAGAAATTGAATAGATCAACCATCCGTTGAACAGTTTGGGTATGAACAGATCAATTCAAAAACCATCAAAAGCACATATATACACTACAAGCATATATAACCACAAGACACATATATCTAAATCTAAAGCATATATAACCACAACAATCACATTCTTGAGAATCAATGGTTGATCTATGTGGATGCTTCTTTACAGAAGAGGATCACTTCTAGCAGTTAAATGCAAAGATTTGCAAACCCGTTCCACAAAAGAGGATCACTTCTAATAGTTGAATTCAAAGATCTGCAAAACCATTCCATAGAATAAAAGAAAAAGAAAAAAAGATCCCAAACACCAAGAAAACTAAGGGAAAGGCAAAGTCACATGAGGAGCTCCACTATCTTCATCAGCACAACTTTCAACAACCTCCAGAGATTGCCGACCAATAGAACTAGTAGATTCATTTCCAAAGCAAACTGCCACCGCCAGCCACCTACAAAGCCAAGTTCATGTGCAATTTTGGTGGAGAGAGCAAGAGGATGAAAGATATAGAGAGATCAGTCGGCAGAGAGAGAGAGAGAGAGAGGGGGGGCAACGGTGATGGCAATGACATGGTGGTGGTCTAGATCTAGGGTTAGGGTAGATAGATCTAGGGTTAGGGTAAGCAGTGATGAAACCCTTAGGGTCACCGGCGATAAATCTCTCATTCCCTCATTTTAACATCTCTCTCTCTCTCTCTCTCTCTCTCTCTAATGGTAGCTCTGGTGGAGGTGCCAAAGTGAACATATAGATTTGAGAAGATGAGTGATCAAGGTAGAAAGAGAAGATAAGAAAATGGGAAGACAAATGATCTAAGGCAAATCTAAGAAAGATCAGTACTCTCTGCCTCTTCATCTTCACCGGTGGCGATACCTTGTTCTTGCAGGAGATCAGTGACGAAACCTTAACGCCTTATTCTGTCAATATCTCTGATGAATCATCGAGAGGTGTATTTGTGATGATGAGAAGTAGCGGCTGGGACGGCATCGTCAGAAGCCACCATTGTTGGGCCGTGTCGGATGAGTTTTTGGCAATGGTGATGGAAAAGAGAGAATATGAGAGAGAGAGAGAGAGAGAGAGAGAGAGAGAAATGATGAGAGTTGTGTACATATATATAATAGGGTTAGTTTTGTCATTTTGCACAACGATTGCCTTATCGACATAATTGTTTACCGCCTAGACTTTTAGACTAAAAGAATTCAAATATGGATTTATAAACCGAATGCGCTAATCAAAATCATATATTTTTCCATGAGTTAGTAATTATTTTGCAAGAAAAACCAGAAAAACCATTGACTGTAAATTCCCCATAAAAAAAAAAAAAAAAAAAAAAAAAAATATCCTTTTGATGTGGTTCACTTTCTAGTGCAAACAACACCTGTAAGTATTTGTTTTATGGTATATTATTTTTGTCAGACATTTGAAATAAATTTTACCATATATGTTAGGAAATTGACTTTTCCTAATCAGAATCAGTGAGATACAAAATAGAAAGCAAAAAAAATAAAAATGAATCGAAACAATCATACACACAAGAAATTCGAAAATTTACACAGTTCATCGCATAATAAGACTACATCCACGGCCGCTGTAATTTTCACTATGTTCATAAAATAATTACAACTCTCTACAATAAAAAAATGTCTCCCCTCATCTATTTATAAGTATAGAAATTAAGGTAATGCTGAAGCAATAGAAAAGCTAAGACATTAATGTGTGCAGCAGGCATGGGTCGACCCTTTGAACCCCTGGTGTCGATCCTAAATTTTGCAGCCAATTCCAGATTCATTAATAGACAAGGGTCAACCCTTCCCAGACCGGTGTTGACCCTTGAGGCCAACAACAAAAGGTAAGTGTCGACACCGCCAAGATTAGTGTCGAGTCCATAACAAGATTTCTAAGTTTCCCAAACAACTTGTCAACGTAAACAAGCGTGAATGAACAATCCCAACAAGTTTAAATCGATTTGTAGTTCTCCAAAACCAAGATACAACAACTCCAAAGACTCCTAAGAAAGAAAATAAAAGAATTAAATATACCATCCAATAGATTAAAGGGTACAAGTGTTACAGTGATGTTTTTCCTAGAGGAGGCGTTGAAGAGCCACTCTCCCTAACTGATTTCGGATGCCTCTCCGGCGACTTTATGGCATGTCTTTGCCGAGCTCCCAAAACACTTTCAAAGTGTAGATCTGGATATTTTTTTATGTCTAGGAAGAAGAGTTTGAGAGTTTTTGTCTTGATTTTTAAATTTTCTACACCAATAATGGTTTCCTTTTCTCTCAATCTTCCTCCCATACTGTTGTGAGTGTTCTTCTACTTCAATTCTGGCTTCTGGCATTGATCGAAATACAATGGCTGTAGTAGTGGAGTTGGGCAGTGACGATAGGGACGATGTCGATGGCAACGGCAACGGCAACGGTAAGTTTGATATAAATTTTGATTTTCCAAACCACATTTGTGAGAAGATTAGTAGTTTTCCTTCAATTATAGTAGTTGTTGTTGTTGTTGTTGTTTTTTTTTTTTTTTTTTTAATGGCTTTGTAATTTGTTATTTGTAATTTTTATTAGGTTGTTTGCTTGGCACTTTAAGTTTTATTGTTTTTATTTTTATTTTAATATAATTGCTTTATATTTTTTTTCCAAAAAAAAAAAAAAAAAAAAAAATATTAAAGAAGAAGAAGAAGAAGAAAGAATAGGTACTTCATAGTTTGTCTTGATCTGCATTTGGATGTGGTAATGTATGCATAAGTTTGTGATGCAGACCATTCATGGATGTTCATGAATACTTTATAATTGTATTTATTTATTTTAATTTATAGTTCAATTAGGATCTTAGTAAATTTAGTTTTTATTTTATTTTATTTTAGGGATTCTGGTTACCAAATAATATTTTGATTTAGTTTCCTATTTTGAATTAGGATTTCTAGCCTAAAAATATTAGGTCTTTACATTGTAATCGAGTATTGAAGGCTGTGGCTGTTTGTGTTAGGGCTGTGGCCCTCTTCTTCTCTTTTCTCTCCTGTTTCTCCTGTTGCATTCTACATCACTATGTCTTGCATATAGTATCATCTGCAAATTGAAGTCTAGATGCTTCAGTTCTTTCCTTGCGCTAATCAAACGTATAGCCTCTCGTTAATGTTATTTGGTGCATCTTTCATAAATTAATGGAGAAGCAGGTATTGATGATGAATGCCCCAAGTAGTGTTGGACCAACCATTGGCCTTACCGTGGACATGTAGAGCCCCTTTGAACATTATTAGGCACATTTCTTCTTAAATTATTGGAGAAGTGAGATGCTGATATTAGTGCCTCAAGAAGCGTTGGACCATCCATTAGCCTTGGGATGAACAATGACCTGCAAAGAAAAGGAGGAAAACTATTTTTTATCTAAATTCTGCATTTAACTTCAAAATCTTTCCAATGCACAACATTATTTGGGAAGGAATAATTTGCGTGGTCATTTGGCTTATCAATGATCACAGTCTGAACATCTGTTCCTAA